TCCCTTCCCTGCTCAAACAGTGCCTCCCCCTCTGTCCAATTAGTCAGAACTTGTACTCACAGACGCTGTGAATAGGTGCAGGTAAAGAAATAAACAAAGAATATATTTCAAATTATCCAGAATGTTTTCTGTGCTTTGGGAAAATAAAATCCATTGTCATCACTTACATGCTTACAAGTATTCACAACAAAAGGGTTTCTAAGAGACAGACAAAGATTCAAAAATGATTGGAAGGGAGCCATCTTCAGTCATCCGACTATCACAAGCAGCACATAAACCACATCCTCGGAAGCTGCAAACACCCTAAACTGGTGTTTTGTTTCTGTTATCGTAGCAACGGCAAGTACGAACAGCAGGATATGTGCTCACAATACCGGCTCGTTATTACTCGTGGTGACTCTGTAACAAACTGCTTGTTATATATAACCTTTCACCTCTTCAAAGCCTGATTGTGCTGATAAAATTAAAAAAAAAAAAAGTCAAGTACTAAAGAAAAAAAGTATATGCATGTACAGATATGCACTTCACAGAAGAGTTTACTTTAATAATTATTGTGTTCATTATCATAATTTTAGTATTTCCATAGCAGTTAAAAATAGAAATGAGAACAAGTCTTTCTCTCTCTCTCTCACGTCCCTTCCCAGCCCATAGGATAAATAGCTTGAGTCATCTATAGGGTGTGTGCAAGGCCGAGGGAGCGGTGCCTTTGTACAGAAAGAAATTGCTGAGAACGAGAAGATGGAAAAACTGAGCCGGCAGCTGCCTGTGATAAGTCAGTGCTGAATTTTGCAGCTCACATTCCACTTGGGCACAACACATACCGGCCCTGGGTGCAACAGCAGGAGCGTCTGTACCTGCACAGCAAATCCTCATTTACACTCGCTCCCTAAAACAGCAGAACTCAGTAACAGCTGAAAAAGTTTCATTCTTACTATTTTTTTTCTGAATGCGGAATTACCCCTCTTCCAGGGAAATGAAACCTCTCCCCTAGCTCTGCCATCTTTTGTTGAAGGTCTGCACATCTTCTACAGCCTCATTCCTTGATTTTCTTCACACTTGCAGGAGCCTTGGCTAAGAAACCTTGGCCCAGCTCAAACTATCTGCGCTCAAATTCCACAGTCTTGCTGGAGAAAGAAAAATAAAAGCCATATACATTAAATTCTGAGAGACAAATTGCCTGATTTCACAGAGAAAGATAGAAGACTGAATTGAGGAGCACTGTGAAGATTGTACAGTGAGAAGTGGATGCTCTTTCACATACACCAGTTGTGGACACAGACCTGCAGGCATTCAAAAGAAGTCCCAAGTCACCCATGAGAGTAACATCCACAAAAACCAGGAGCTGTTACCTGAAGTAAAGATGACATGGGTTTGTCTTGGTTTTCTCATCTCCAGAGACAGATATGTGAGCAGAGAAAGGAGAGAGATCTGGAAGATTTACTAGTAGTTCAGGAAACATTTTTATCAGAACTATTCCCATTCATGTTTTTTTTGTTGTTTTTTTTGTTTTTTTTTTTTTTTTAAATTTTTAAAAATATTGTGGTGCCTCTGGAAATAATTTGAACTTTCGGAAAGAGCGGAAAGAGCTAAAGGCAGGTCTTTGATGTGTATAAAGACTGTCAAGGAAAAAGAAGAGGGATGGAGGAGACGTGGGCAGGGTTCCTCACTGACAGAGCACAGGGAGAAGGCACAACACCACACAGAAGGAGACAGCGATAAATAGTTATTTGTACAGCACAAGCCCGATGGGAAAGGGAACTGGAAGCAGTGGAAGGGGAAATGCCTCAGGAGGATTGAAAGGCAGAAGGGGGGTATTCCAATCAAATTGACTGCTGGAAAAAGTGCCTTGTTGGAGACAGGTTTGTCTTAGTGGATTAGTATGAATTGGGAAGGAGAAACAGCATGAGGAGGAACACAGTGTTGGGTTTGAATCCTAACAATGGGAGGAGAAAGAATCTTAGGGAGGATTATGAGGCTGAAATCAACTATCTTAACATTTTTAAAACTATGAAAAATTTTTTTTTTAATTATACTGCATTTAGGGGGCAGGGAGGTTGTGCAGTTCTCAGTGTTTTTTCTTTTTTCTTTTTTTTGTGGTTATGATACTGACCGCTAAAAGCTGAGTTATTTCAACTGAGCGAGGTATCACATACCTTTAAGAAGGTAGCACTTGAATGCACTTACAGGGATGTGCGTAGTAATTAATCACAGAGTGACACAGCTGGTCAGAAGCATTTTCCTTTTTTTTTGGTAAAATACAGGAATAGGCTTCCAGGCTTCTACATTTTAGAAATAAATGAAATGTAGATAACTATAAAAAACCTGAGCACAACAAACAAAACAACAAAAAAACAAACCACAAACTAAACACCAAAGAACCTCCTGAAAAAAAACCACAAACAAAAAAAACCCTCTCCAGGACTTCATCATTATCTATAAATACTCTATGTAATAATTTAAAAGAGTTAAAGTTTTGTGGTGTTAAAAAACCCTTAAATTTCAAAATTACATCTGTTTTTCTCAGTGGCCATAGATAATACAACAAGCTTCTTAACCAAGATGAAATTCAGCAAGAAACAAGAGGACACATAATATTACTAAAAATTGAAGCTTAATTGTTATTGCCAGCTTCCCATCCACAAGCATTCATTCACTTGAAATCCAGCATTCCTTAGAAGGAAAGCAGGGATGAGCCACTTGCACAAGCCAGGAAAGAAAGGAAGATTCACAGAACAATGCACGATTGTCACCTCTGGTTGCATCCCATATTTCTGTGTATGGGTCAGTGCTAAAAGGAAATTTGGCATTGAGCTCTACCTGGGGCACTTGGGCTTCTCCTCTTTTTATGAGACATTATGTGTGATAAACAAAACAGCAACACTGTGAGGATCAGGGTATTTGTGAAGTTGGGACACCAACAAGTAGGGATTAACAACCACATCGGAAATAATGAACCTTGACAGATCTAGGGTTAAATACTTTAAAATTAGATCCTGCTGAAAGCCGAATCTTGTCGCTTAGCAACGGCTGCATGGGATGCTGCTGTCACTCAGTGGATGCTTCTCTGGGGAGTTAACATCATGCTCACAGAAACTGGGTTATGATTGGGTCAAGGTGACATCATGCAGCACGACAGCATCATTTTTTAAGGTAGCATCCACCACAATCACACCCAGAATTGTGTAGCCACTTGGAGATTTAAGGGAACATCTTTTGTTTTGGAAGGGCTCAGCTCTGCCTACTCCTTACCTGGCCCACGAAAGGGCTCGCAGAGTCTGTGTGAAAGGGCAGGTCGTGTCAGCCACCACAGCACAGCCAAACTCAACAGGTGGATTTGTCATTTTTTCAAATTCCTCAGCACCAAAAGCAAAGCAAAATACAAGCTGCAATTTGGGGAGCTCTGACTGTATTCAGAGCATGGAAACCTCCACCAGCAGTTCAGAAAACATGCACAAAGCTTATGAGAGAGAATAAAATGTACTCTTACCGAAAATAACTGGAAATTTAGTTTGCTGTGCTAATTTTAGCATTTAAAACCACTGGGAACCTACTGGATCTTAGTAAGAAACTAAGATACCAAGTTAATTAAATTAAAAAAAAAAAAAGCCTTTGAGGTAAAAAATCTTTTTTTCAACGTGATGCTGTGTTAAGGTTGGTACAGGCACCCACAGAATTTTTCTGAGTGCCTGCCTGCCAACTTCAAAGCATGTAAGTGTGAGTGTTTCTGGTCTGATAGAGACCAACCTGCATTTCTAGGCATGAAAATACCCAAATGCTTAACTGCTACCAGTGTCTTTGGATACAGAAACTGGGTCTTCAGTCCAATCTAGTATGCCGACCATTAAGAGCATTGGAAAGTCAAGATACCACGGAAATGGGGATTATGGCAACCAGCATAAAAGCAACACAAGGTAGACATACCTAGTTTTAAGATACAGATGTCCTTCTCTGATCATTGAAAGAGCACAGACCTTCCTTTTTTGGGACAGACTGTGTCAAAAAGGAGCTCCTGGTGAGCAGGAAGGTTACCAGGAGGGATCACAAAGAGTCAGAATCATGACAGATCTCATTAAATCAACTTCCAGGTCATGAACTAAGAACTTTTTCTGCTGACTGGGGCCTCACCACTTGGCAGTGATGGAGGAGAACAAAGATAGGGACACATTAGTTGATAACAGGATTAGTCAACTGCATGTGACAGGGTAAAGGCCATGCCAAGCCTAGGACATACAGACAAGAGTGCTGCAAAGGCAGGGAATTATTAAGGCCAGATTTCAAAGAAAAGCACTCTACAAGAGTGGTTTTCACTCTTCTCATGTACATGCTGGCAGGTTGAATTAAAACTGGAATTGATGTACAGAAAAGTGGTTAAGAGGAATGAAGATCATGTCTTCCAAAAGGAAAGCACATAATCTTGGTTTGTTTAATAAGTCAAGAGTCTAAGGAGGGAAATGATTGCTTTTGTACTGATGCAATAGGAAAATAAACACGCTGGTGTTTAACGAGGAGCTGTTTAAACTAACACTGGCGGACAGCAGTTAATAATTTTACATTAGCTCTAAGTAGTTTATAATGGTAAGAGCAGGCAGCTTTCAGGACAGCCTTCTGGAAGAAAGAGAGAAAAAGAAATCCAACTGATCTGAAGACTGAAAATTCAAGCAGAGGTGATATTGCTTTGCCATCTCAGAGGGGAGAATGAACCTTGTGGGTAAAAACAAGGAAGAGTTTTTATGTCTAAATATGCTGGGGAAGTTCACAATAACATTGCTGGACTATGATGTGATTACCTCTAAGCACACCAGATGTTCACAGCTACATGTATTTACTCAAGACTACTCAAACTAAGAACACTTACAGGTACCTGTAAGCTCAAAATCTGTGAAAGAGTAACCATATTCTGTGTCAAATTTAGACAGCCATTTTTTCAAAATAAATCTAATCTAAGAAGTATTTCCTCAGCAACTGTCCTTAAAATACAGCTGGTGTAAGTGCATAATTGCTTCAGTTAATGCTTTATTTTGAGAGTTGTGGCTTCATACAGAGGGTAATTTTCAGCAAAGCCATAACAGAGGAAAACACTCTTGGGAAATTTAACAATGAGCTCAAGGTTCTCAGCATAATACAGAGAATAACAATTAGAAAGTTATCATTAACATATGATACATAGTTGTGATTTTGTCCAAGCTAATTAGAGCAGTTGTTCTCTTATCAGTATATTAAGATGAACACTAAATCAAATATCTTAATAGCACTTATGTATTCTGTAATGTGATTTAAATTTTATTTGATATGGCAATGAAAGCAAGTCTTTGTTAACATCTACTGTATCATTTCAAGTATTGAGAAAGTTGTATTGTCATCAGATTCTACAGAGCAAGCTTAACTCAGTGATACTAGTAGGTTAAACAAATAAAAATAGAAAAGGTGGACCAATGTCTGCATATAACAGAGATAAGCATCACGTCACATCTTGTTTCCCTTCTCTGGTCTTTCTGCCTCTCAGGCACTGGAAGGCACTGGAATGGCACATGCCACGTGTGTGCATTTGAGAGGAAAGCTGGCCCAGGAGCAGCAAGCTGAGGCATGTATAAAGTGGGATGGGGAGCATTTCATTCCTGCTAGTGAAGAGGGTGCGTTCCCACCTCTGTGCTTTCCATAAGGCCTTCTGGATAAAGACTTGACAGATATCAAAAATCGTATGTAGGGAAAGTAAACACTGAAAAAAACCCCAAGAAGACCTATGGAGCTTTATCCAGGGACACATTTTTTAAATTACCTGTCCTGTATTAGGTTGTTGATCTTTTGAGTATCGTCCAAGCAACTTGGCCACAGCAGTATGGACACGGAACAGTAAATAATCACGGTTTCATCAGCAAAAGATTCAAGTTATTTCTATTTAAACAAATGCTTTGCACAGAAGGGCAAAATATTATGCAGTAGTGTTTCAGCAATTTCTAACACATCAAAACATTCTTTAAGTTCCTGGTTAAAGGGTAAAATCTTGGCCTTAAAAGATGCTCTTCAATTATTATGGGCCAGCTATGGATGAACCTGACTGTCAGCAAATCCTGCTATGGACTGGTAGGTGTTTTACAGATGACTTCCACATGCATGCAACATCTTAACCAACCTTCAATGAAACACACATTTGGCTTTTTACACTGGTCCACTTCTCGTGGAAGAAGTTTAAATGGGAAGGTGGAATACTCAGCACCGTCTGAGACCAGAACCAGGGTCTGGAGATAAAGAGAGAACACAGCGCTTTCTGTTTGCAATGCTGTTTATTTTAGAAAAGCCCCTTTGATCATCTGAATGAAAAATGTGGGCAGAAAAGTCACAAATGTTATAAAACAAAGTTTATTCTGCAATATTTTGTCATAATGAATTGCATCTCTTTGGTAAAAATAAAATTTATAAACATTTTAATTAACAGAGATTAGCATACAAAAAACTAAACTTCTGTAAATCGTCTTTAAAACGGGTAAAGGACTAAACCGGAGGAAAAAGGGTTAGAATTGGTCACCTACTGGCAAAATTATTCTAAACAAACCCAAGGACATTGTTTATGCTACATTAGAAACAAGCTAACGGGAATGGTTTAAAAACAACTCTGGTTCATTTGATCAGAAAGCATTCTTACAATTCACTTTTAAATAAATAATAGTTACAATGAATTGGCAATTATAAAATGTTTTATATCACTATATGGCAGTAACATAATACTTTTAATTATGCACTTTTTAATTTGAAGAAATGTACACTTATAAAACAGACTTGATAATGGCACTGGCAGTTAGGTGTGAAGAATGTGCTTTAAGATAAAATAGCAGGTGCAACATTTAAATATTCTACCTTTTCAATAAATATTCTGACCACACCATTATTCACGTGCATGAGTGTACTTTGCTTTAATTAAAGCTTGTACTTTTCAGGTTGATGAAAAGTTGCAAACCACACAACTTCCATTTTACAGTTGGATTTTAAAACATTTGATGTGACTTCTGCCAATCAGTATTTAGGACTGGAATCTGGAAGGCCAATATAGGTTTGTACAGTATTCACATCAGATTTACCCTGAACAGAGCAACCTCCCAGGTACAAAAGTCTCATACACTTCTTCACTGCATTTAAAGAACTGAATGTGGTTCATTAATACTTTTCTTGCCAAAATGTATCCAAGTCAACCATTGGCATCAACGTTTTACATATGTCACTAAAAAAACCCAAAGCCCAACAATCAAAATAACTTTTAATTATACTCCATTTATACTATATACACCAGGGTCTCTGGCTGAGGTGGCAAACAAACCCAAACCCAATAGATATGTAAGAGAAAGGAAGGACAGCTCTTCTCCCACTCCCAAGAGGGGTGCTCTGCATCTGAGCTTTCGGCCTTTGCCTCCCAAACGTGCAGGCAGAGGTGTGGGACAACACAGTGGAACAGGTCAGGGGCACAGATTGTCTGCCTTCTCCTTTGAAAGGAGAAAGGGAAAACAGCAAAGCATGAAGAGCTTTGCTCTGTGTCCCAGGGAAAGACTATGATTGCTTCCCCACTTCCAGAATTCCAGTTCTCCCAGGCTAAGAGCTGTAAGGATGGATGCAGCTAGCTTTCACTGCTGACTTTGATTAGTAATTGGTTTTTACTGGTCATTGCATATGGTAATTAAATGCACTGTTAGCATCCCAACTCCATCTCCTCAGATATGCTGAAGTCATTATCACCAGCTTCAGGGTTAACAGCAGCACAGCCACACTCCAAGTCAGTATTAACCTTCTCCAATTTTATCTGAGGCATAAAATAAATGCAGAACCAAATCAAAACACAGAGCCAACTACGACCGCAGAATTTCTAGAATACTTGGACTTTGATCCAGCTTTCACTGGAAGCTACAGAAAGGCTGCAACCACCTTCAGCAGGAGCCAGGCAGCACCCCTTTCCAACAGCATGAAACTGAAATCATGGCACTGAGCAAAATCCCAGGCTGCTACAGAGTATTTCTGTGTATCTGAATCTTGGTTTTCACATTGACACAAACTCTGCCCTTTGCAGTTTTCCATCAAAGTTCAAAAGCAACCCATGAGCAAAAAGCAGTTCCACCAAGCATTCACATCTTCACATCCTGAAATCCAAAGAATCACCGTGTTGATAATTCATTTTCCTTTAAATCGCAAGTTTTACCCCTACTACCCATCAGTAACACATCCAAAATCAGATCTAATTGGCTAATGCAGCACTTGTGATAGCCAGAAGACATACACATCTGCAGACGTTGCTCTGCTACAGGTATAGGCTAACAGGTGTTCACACAAAGCAGGAATGAAGCAGAGTATTTTCCTTCCCTTTCCAGAAATAAAACAAATAATTCTTAAAACTGAAGTAATCGGAAAAAGAAAAAAAAACCCCCACACTTTTTTTTTTCTCCTAGGGTTTGTGCTTTAAATTCCAAAACACAAAGAACCTCAAATATTTCAGGCTTGATCCAACAGCCATTGAGTCAGCAGGAGCACCACCGTTGTCTTCAAGAGGCACTGGAATGGGCCCTCAGAGCAACAGACCTTCAGCAGCATGGCTGTGTTTGTATTTAAAACAGTTTATGACAGTATTCATGAATAGACTGACAAATACGAAATAAAAGAAAAAAGGGGCAAAAACCCCCACACTAGTCTAATAAAGGCTTCCAAAGAGCCAGGAAAACACCCCCTTAGGGAAAGGTTAACTTTTGGCTGAATCCAGCACTGTTCTCCACAGTGGACATTGGTTTCCTAGGTGGCTCTGCTCCTAATTTTCAACCAGCTTGCCCAATACCTGCTGGAAGCAATAGCTTCACGTTGGTGAGAACGTTTATGGCACATCATGCTACCTTTTAGCAACAGGAAAGATGACCTTGAATAGCTGTATACGATTCTGCAACATACTTAAGGCATCCTTGTATGTACAGTAATGTTAAAACCCACTCCAACTGAACTGCTTGTCCATTTTTGAACAGAAAATTAAAAAAAAAGAAAAAAAAAGGCCATTATCTACAGGAAGATGTAAGCAATCACCACTGATTTTAAAAGGAAAAAACAATAGGGATAAAGTTCAACATACCACAAAACATTTTTGGCTGAAGGATGTCTAGGAACTATAAAAAGATTCTCTTATTGCAAAATGAATTGTGAAGGAACTTCTTCCCAAAACAGAGGTCCTCCTGAGCCTCAATGCACATCCAAAGGCAAAAGCTTTGCCCATTGGATGCCCCGTATGTGGCAGAAGGCTGATGGGGTTCAAACAGCACAAGGCACAGTGATCTGGGAAACAGAAGGTATGGATGGACAGTCCATGTGACAAAACCAGCAAACACTGGGGGAAGGGGAAAAAACCCCCAACAACACTAAATTGGGATGAGCTGTCATCTCCCCAGAGGGCAGGGAGGCCCTGCAGAGGGACCTCAACAAATCAGAGATGGGCAATCGTCAACTGCACGAAGTTTAAAAGGGCAAGTGCCAGATTCTGCACCTGGGATGGGCAACCCTGGGTGTGTGTATGGACTGGGGAACAAGAGCTGGAGAGCAGTGCCGTGGAAAGGGACCTAGGGGTCCTGTGCAGAGCCAGGAGTTGGACTCAGTGATCCTGATGCATCCCTTCTAACTCAGCATATTCTATGATTCTATGGATTCAGGGTTCAGAGATCCAAAAGGAAGCGATTCCATTTTGTCTCAGATTAGGCAGCAGGACATTCCCTTTTCAGCAGCTGTTTGCCAACTAAAGCCTCCACCTCATCTAAATTGTCACCACCAACAACTACTGGGCTCTTTTTTCCCTCCCAAACCGGTACAGGGGAGCAGAAGGGTAGATGTAGCAGAACTGTGTAGGTACTACATATTCAACAGTGGTGGTAACACAAAGACAACATCTGACTTGGAAGGCAGCAGCTGTCACTGTTGGCCACATCCAAGGCATGTGTGGGCATGCACGTATCTGCATGAAAAGGACAATCCCCCACCCCAAAAAAACTCACAACATGTCTTAAGATAAAACCACAAACCATGTTCCTTCGGCAATCTGAGCTGCACACAGGAGATTTGGGGGAAGGAGGGACAAAAAAAAAACAACTGTGGGTGGTACCCACTTCAGCTACCCCTTATCCCACTCTTCCAGGGGGTGTTTAGTATCTTGCTGAAAGCAGCTCCTGCGGGTTTTCAGCCACTCTGTCAGATAGGCCAAAAAATGCAGCAACTCAGAGTTGCATCACCAGTGTTTTCACTAGGACCTGTCTAAAAAGTGAAGAGAGGACAGGTGGAAGGAGGCATCCAAGGCCAGGACCTTTTCTTTCCCCCTTTCTTTTTTCACCTCCTTTTTAATCCTTTACATGGAAGTCAGAGCCCTTAGACAGAACAAAATTCACCTCTGCAGATGGGGCCCGCAGAGATGTAAATATGATCCACAGTGTGCATCTGAACAAACATATCTCTGAAAAAAAAATAAAGTCAACTATTAAAAAGAAAAAAAATAAACAGTGATCATTAAGTATGCTTTCAGGTTTTCACAAGTCATGCATCTCTAATCTGAGAAGATTAAATATTCTATTTTTCTTTTTAGGTGGTGATTTAAAAATAAATGGCTAAATTATAGTTTGCGCCAAAAAATAAAAAAAAGCAGTGAGTCCTCTTATGGCTTTGATCTCCCTTGTGAAGGGTAAAAGTAGAAGAGTATTGCCACAATTAAAAAAAATATATGTATATATTCAACACTGACAAACATATTATTTTTTCCTTTGTTTGTGACAGTGGGTCTTTGCAGTACTTATTAAGGAACTCAAGCACGTTTGGATGCCGGCAAGGTGGAGCAGAGACCCCGCTGCTTCTTTCAACTCCTCATCGATTTCTTGACATAATTCCTCGAATGCTTTCTTGCTAGACTGACTTTCCTTAGAGGTATCTACACAAGGTTGTGATGCATAGCCACTGTCTCCAAGAGGATCATCTTCATAGTCAACGTCTGTATCCACTTCGCTGTGAAATCCTTCACTGCCATCACTCCCGTCATGGCTGGTCTTGGAAATAAATTCATACACCTCGTCGAGGGAGGACAAGGAAGACACGCTGGACCTGGATGCACAGCGCTGGGAACCCATGCTGCTGGCACTGTAATTGTGATCCTCGTTCGGATCAATATTGGTGGCCGCAGAATCATTTTCCGGCAAATTTATGGAACTCGGAGGGTTGAATGCACTGCCATAGCTCCTCTTCTTGGGTGTCTTCAGAGGCTGAGGTTTCTCACCTATTAAAAACAAGATGTGTCAGTAAGCAAATGCTCTAATGGTGTCACCTGCACAATGAGCTGGCTGACTGCAAGGTGAGCTGAACGTCAGCAGTTAAGAGTCCCGGTCTCTTGTGCACATTTACTGTCATCCACAGAGGACAGCAGTCCTCAGCTAATTGCAACTAAGAGCTGCAGAGAAGCAGCCAAGAAACTCTTCTTACCATTTAGCACAGAGAGGGCAGGGGAAAAACTTTGCATAAAACCCCCAAAATTAAATGGCAAAAGAAAAAGAAGGTGGTTCTAATAAAACTCTTGCAGTGCTAGCTGAAACAACAATCAAACCAGAATTACTTCTTGGCTGCTCCTGTTATTTGGAAACTAGACCCTACTTGTTTCTTGAAATTTTACACAGAAAGCCTTTAGCTACTGAGTAGAGAAGAAAAACAGAGTAAAATGGCTTATGCTTACAGTCCAATATCCCTTGCTGAATGGAAGTATTTAACAGCATCATTGCAGTAGCAGCATCAATATCAGATTCTGTAAAGCAGAAGCAGCAAAATGTTAGATCTCAGGTAAGCCTGACAAGATGAGGTCCCTAAAACATACAAAGAACATATATATCCGCCTATACTGGCCTACAACAAAAAGTGGGGGCAGGGGGAACGTACAAACTCAGACCAAGCATGACTTGTACATCACAACACTGTTACAGATCAGTCTCATACCTTAACTATGCCGTTCAAAAGCTGAATTCTCACGTTGCACTTACCGAAGCCAAGATCAGTGACATAATTAGACATTCATGTGACAATGCTGTTGCTATACTTAACAAGTGCCTTTTGTTTGTACCAGTCGAGAGAGAAAGATCAGACACATGGCACAGCAAAGCATCTCAGCAGCTTCATACCCTGGCTGTGTGAATGTGCAAGGCTGAGAACAACCGTGCCTATTAACCCGGCACTAATTCAGAACACCTCCCTCCCCCAGCAGTATTTTTCACACTAATAAGTCAAATGGAAGAAATTGAGAATATGAGAGGGGAAAGAGCTCTGAACTGCTTGATCTAGAAAGCACGGGGATCTAAATAATAAATAGGCACGTAAAAAGGCTTAGGTGAACTGCAGCACTGTCAGCTGGGGTGACAAGCGCTGCTGTAAAATGCCATCCTTTGCTGCCCAGAGTGGATTGCTTACATCTCTGAAAGGCACCTGGAGGATATTAGGGCAAAGAGTGACATTTCTAACCAGCATCAGGTGAAAAGGAAAAGAAACAAGCACGCCTTTCCCACTCATTTCAGGATATGCTCATGCACTTTAAAAAAGAGGAAATCCAAGGTCTTCCTTGGCTCACTTCAGCAACGGATGATGAATACTCCTTATACAGGACAGAAATATATATGGTGGACTAACCAGGCAAAAGAAGAGCAAAGAGACAGTGAGCTCTCACAGGAGTCTTGGTGTCTGAGAACAAAGGATCACATCTGAGGCATATGTAGGTATGAGCAGGGAGTGGAGAAGAGGAGTTGGAAGATATTGTGCTGGAAGGGACCAGCAGCAAGCAGAACAGGCTCTCAGTTCTGCTGAACTGGAACCTGGGTGGGAACTGTTAAAGTGAAACATCAGCAATGTCATTTCTGATGGCATTTGTTTTCCCCCCTACATTAACAATATTAACAATTAATTCCCCCCTACATTAACAATATTACTTGTTTGAAGGGAGGGGACTGCAGAGTCGTCAGTGTGGCTTCCTTATCTTGACAACTATCCCTACCTTCATCCCTGGTCAAGGACAAATCTGAAGAAGATGACACCTTGGGATATGTTGTATTGCATCAACATAGAAAGGGGACTGACCTGCTGTTTCCAGCACAGGTTATAAAACATACACATTCCCTCCTTGTTTTCGAAGTCTTTCATTTTAAACTCATCATACTTTAAGGTCTATCCCATTGTACTCATGAGATTATTTTTTTTATTCTGTTTTGTCTTTCTTTGGCAGAAATAGAGCCCCTGAATTTATAGGTCACATGCATCCAACCAAAAAAAAGAAGTGGAAAAAACTCCATGAAGAGTTAATTTGCTCCACTAGTGTAATCAGAAAGTGAAATACTTCCATTCCTTACTTGCTATCACAGACATTTTGTTTTATCATCTGATGTTGGTACATAAGCACCACTTGTTAAAATGGCAAGTAATTGGAGGCATTAATGCAACACAGGATTATTACCTGCAAAGAGTATTCTGTACCTTAATACTCCCAAAGAAAGAGGAGAGACATTTCCGCAGTGACTTCTTAGCAGTACTCTGTGTCACTGTTAAGGTGCTTTGGCTTCATTTGCGATTGCTCTCCTCAACAGAGCAGTATTTCCCAAATTCATGCTTCCCCAACAGAACAGCTGAGGAAGCACCTTATTACAAGGAATTCTTTCATGTGCACAAGAGCTGCCCTATGTGACCCCAGGAACATTAATGGCTTCCCTCTAATGCCAGAGAAATGCTGAGCAGGTTCCCTGAGATGCAGAAATTAAATGATAACAGACACAAATCATTATTTCGGCACCTCTGGTGTAGCTAATTGGAACAGTTAGCATCAGGCTGGCAATCTCCATACCTGTCACAGGACACACCAGCAAAATCATTAAGAGGAGGGGAATTCCTCGTATTCTCTAAGGAGCCCTAAGAATCCCAGATCTAGCAGCCTTGCAGCAGCCAGCCAGCCAAGGAAGCTTCCTTGCCACTCACGTACAACCATAAACCTCCATCTGGATGCACGGTGATTATCATCTGTGGGCCAGGCACCTGATTCGTCTCTATAAAGCCTTGGCTTTGCTGCCTAGCCAAAGCTGCTAGTTTGTGTCCAAAACTAAAAGCAATCTTCTCCCCTCTAAGCCTACCACGCTATCAAAACCAGGGAGCTGTGTGTCTGCTGTGCTTGCTCACAGACCCACTCTGTCAGTGGCCTTTCACTGTCCTTTTTGAAAGAGCTTTAACAACACTCCTATACAACACGTGCTCACTTTCCGTTAGATTCAACTTTTGTGGCCACATCCCACAAGTTTTATACATTAAAATTTGCTGCCCTTGGTTCTCAGTTCTTGGTCTCCAGTAAAACTAGTACAGAGATGTGTAGCTTTCGGATTTGTTTTCTACTGAACTATTCATTCTTTAAGTAGGTCATTTTTGGGAGTGATACGTGTGCTGAATACTTTGCTGCCAGAACAAGATGGCCCAAATTACACCTTGAAATTCACCTCATGGATTTAAAATTAATACACAGGTGGCTAATATAATACGCATACGCTGTATTACATCTGGGTTTTTTTTGTCATCTAGGAGACCCTTCAGAGCAGGTCTGTAGACAACATCAGCTGGGCTGCAGTACATGCTTGTGACTAAAGCCAGGGGAGCAGAGTGAAGTAAGAAGAAACGTTTACCTTTGAGAGCTCGGCCATGGTTCTGCTGAAGGACTGAAGTTAGGTAGTGAGGGGACGACGACCTACTGAAAAGAAATTCAACAGCTCAAAGCCAAGCCCTAATTTAGGCAAATGATTTGTACAAAGTGTAGCAGACACCATATTATGATCACAGAAGGGTAAAAACAAAACCAACCCTATTGCCAGAGGTGGGCAAGCAATTCCTATTGCCCTCAGTAAATGGCTTGACACTTGGTTGATAGTTTGTGTAGCACTATTTAAGCCACCATCAGCATTTGGAAAACACCTCCAAACACACACAACTAAGCAAAAATCTTGTTGGCGAGAGATACTGACTTCTACAGATTTTATGTAGTTGCCTAAAGGCTGGATTTTAAACAAAACCATGTATTTTATAGTATGTAAAACCTACGTGTGAAGTAAACTTCAGCTTACACAGGGATGCTCAGAGCCCAGGAGCAACACAACAGGTAAGGGGGAGTTGTGTCTGCCTGCTCCTCCAAACGGCAGAGGGCAATTAACAAAAATGAAAGGTAATGTGCAAAAAGCTGGGGAAGAACAAAAAAAAACCCCAAATCAAGATACCTGATGATTTTAAAGTTATCTGAGGCTTGGCTGTTTTGGTGATGCTATCTGGGGCTTTTTCATAATCAGACCAGCTTTGCACCTGGCAAAGCACCATTAAATCCCCTACAGAATAAAGGGCAAGCTAAAGCTTTTGCTCGTTTGGTTGTTTGGGTTTTTTTTGTTACGCACCCAGTCCTAATTATTCAGTTCACTATAAATATACTAGCAAGCAGTTACAAATAAATACAACAAAAATAGTACACACTATTAAAATTGCATGAAACGTAGCAATGTGCATCTTTTATAGTGTTGCTGGAAGAATTTGAAGGGTGATGAGCAGAATTTTCAAGCCCAACCTGTAACAGAAGCCTCACAGGATTAATGGGGTGATTTTCATCCTTAAGGTGTGCTTACCTTTTACATTTATCATATTTAGGCAGCTCTGTTTTCCAAAATAAGGTACAGCCACAAAACCCCCCAAAATCACAAAGTTGCTAAATGTTTAACATTGTAATTATTTGTCTAGATCATTCATTAAAACTCAAATAATTACTTCAGCTTTAAAAATAACTTTTTTAAACTAAAATCTTCACTCTTCAAATTGCAGTTTGAAGAAAATGCTTTTCACTGGTGACTGGCTGCTACTGAGGCTGCACACATCTCAGCCACCCTGAGATCAGCTACCCTGCACAGATGTTAACAAGGGTGCCCATTTAATAGCCTCACTGCTCCAACTTGCCATCACATTAGCCAAACTCAGCTGGCCAAACTCAGCTCCAAAGGCTGCTACAGTGCAAGAGGAAAAAAAAAAAAATCAAAGCAAGGTGGCTTGAAATGCACCGTCTGGGCTACATAAGGAGCTCTTGCTGCACCACAGCCTGCCTGGCACTGGTAACCAAAGCTACTGAAAAGGAGAGTAATATCTGAGCACCTCCCAGTGTCGTAACCAAGGGGAAAAAGTTCCAGCTCAGCTGAATGGGGAAAAAATGGAAAACTAGAGCTCACTGTCTGGTATGTTTTCTTGTAGCAGCCATGGAGCACAAAGGGAACTGCAAAAATGAGGTGAAAAAAAAAATTAAAAATAAAAGGAAAGCAATGGTCCAACCCCAACAGGCTGGCTCTGCAGCCCACAGGTCCATTGTACAGAGAGATGCTAAACATCTTCATCCTTTTGTTCTAAGCTCAGATCCTTCAAAAATCACATCCACATGGAGCTTCCCCAGAGCAAATTAATGCCCAGTATTGATTAAGACAAACTATGCATAAGGTATCTGCAAGATGAGGGCTGTGGCCATCCCCGGAGCCCAGGGCTGTAATACATGTAGTACAGAAACAAAATGCAGCCAGGGGCTCTGCACCAACTTGTTGAACAAGCTGTGCAGAAACAAAATACAGCACAAAATGCATCAAGGATGCCAATCATCTATGATAATACGAATTTCAGTGTCACTAGACACAGATTACAGTTTTGGAAAGCTTCTGCTCAAAGTAACAGCTTAAATTTTATTTTAACATCCTGCTGAATGACAGGCATACTCCCCACAAACACACTGTAAAATAATTATGAACACTAGCCTTCCCACAGAAAAATTCAGAGACTCTCACAGTCGAATTTTAGGATCACCCTGTAGATAAATTTGGACAGTACTTCCAGAGTCTCTCCAGCTGTACCTCTGGGCTTTCTCTCTCTCTTCAACAAGGCAGACCCTTGGGGGCCCTTCCCCAAAATTAGGCCAGAATTTAAATCAAATCCAAGAATCTTTAAACTTGGAAGGGGAAAAAAAAATCTGGTTTTCTGTGCGTGATGGAAAGTCATATAAATGGTTTTTTTACTATTAAAGGAAAATAAACCAGCTTTCATTAGGAAGAAGTCTGGTATCTTAAAATGCCGTTTCTTATTTTCTTGTACTCATAAATACAAGCACTGCAAAACCCTTCCTGTATTGAAGACAGTGGGAATTTTGCCATGTGGCTTCATTAGAACCTGGATTTCCTTGTAATTGTGATTGTTGGCAAGTGTGACTAGTCCTTCAGTGAAGGAAAAAAAAAAGTTACCAAAAACAACAGCTTCAAATTAAAGTCATGATCTTCTAAGTACTTCAGCATTCAGATAAAATCTCTCCTTCCCTACACCTGATTTCAGTATGTTGTATTTAGACAAGCTAAGTAAACCACACTTCAACATAACTTCTGCTGGACTAATCTTGAAGACCTTGGAGATACTAAAAGCTTAACTGAATTCCCTACCCTAGGCTGAGCCTGTCTGGATCCTCTGTGCCTCAGCTGGAGAAACAACATCCAGAGGTCACTCTCTATCTCCATTATTCTCTACATATTAATGTCTGATTGTGTTAACACAGACATGGTATTAAAGCTTTCAAGGACTAAACTTTCACTTGAGTTGTACCAAAAAACCAGAAGTCTATGCCCTTACATAGAAACATTAAAGCCTGTAAAAGCATTATCCTCTAGAGCCCGATTACAGTCATTTCAATAATCTTTATTCCCATAAAACCAAGCAATACCACCAGTCATCTCATACTTTCCAAGCTGACTATTTCTTAATACTTAAATGCTTCGCGGTTATTTTAGTATTGCTCCCATTCCAGTAGAAAGCTGGAAAACAGGATACTTCCGCCTGGCTTGTTCCAACCCAAGATGGCCCTGGGTTGGAGAGAGACCAGAGATCACTGGTTATATCCTGCAGGTTACAAGCCCAGCTGGAAAAGCCCCTGCCACACAAAAATCTTCAGCCAGACAGCTAAGGCTTGCATGGGGTTGCCAGCTCCCAGAGTCAATGTCCTGTTGGACCCTGAGAAAGGCCTGCTCAATGTTACCAGTCCAGTAATCCCAGTTCCTCCTGTTTGTTAAGGAAATTCCTTGCAGTAAGATTAAGGCATAGGTCAATGTAGAGAGACCTTAATTATCTCTTATCTTACCCAAATTCTTTGCTGAACTAGACAAACCGGCCACATGCCTACCTAAGAACTGAGCTCACCCAATGCATTCCTCTGCTTTGTGCTCCTCCTCTCTGTCCCACCTCTACAGGCTGACCCAGCTCCTCTTCCTCTACTGAGGATGCATGAGATTGACTTCAAATTCCCCCAGATCTATTGCCTGATCTTAAAATGTGCTGGTAAGGAAGCCCTGGTTTCGGAAGTCTTGCATGCTTCACCTCAGAGTATATTTATGTCAAAGACTGTTTTTTCCATCCCTGCTGCAAAATCCTTTTAACAGCCTTTGAGAAAAACAACCCTCACAGACCAGCCTCTCTAAGCACTTCTGACTGTAGAAAAGTTGATTGTTTTTGACAACAGCGTGGAGTATATACATTTTATAACCAGATAAGTGACTTACAGAAAGACACCCACCTCCTCCAAAGCCAACAGCACCAGTCCGGGTGAACTGGGCTTGAAGGAGGATTTTGCTCCAGTTCCCGGGACTGCTTGCCCCCTGGAGAAATTGGGCTAACCAGTAAGCACCCAGCACACTCCTGACCTTCTTCTTTGAAACTCTCCCACAGTTAAGGAGACGACTTGGACACACACCTCAGATGTCTATCTGGGAAGCTCGAGCTCATTAAATCTCCCCACCTCATCTAGCTGGTCTCACCTAAGCCCCACTCAAATTCTTCTCTCGGGTGGCAAATGGTAACAACAGATCAACAACATCCATGTGGGCATTTCCTCTGCCGGGTGGAGAAACGTGACCACACACCCTGCTCGGATGGGAAAATTCACCTACCTCGGTGGTGACGCCGGCGGAGTATAAAATGCAAGTGCTGAGGAAAAGGGCTGTTTCTTCAGTGCTTGGACAAGATTAGGTTTATATTTTGGGTCAACACACCACAATGACCCTTTTCCATTCACCTGCAAGAAAGAAGCATGGAAAATCAGAAAACCTGGGGCCAGACTGTTACAGTCCTTTCTAATTTAATACTCCCAAGTTGCAGCACAGTGCAATGACTGTACATAGGCATACACCCCAGTACAGCTGATGTACAACATCCACAGGCAGCTTCACCACCAGCATGGAAAGTGCATGCTCCCAAATTAAGAAAACAGTCCTTATACACTATGGAAGCACCCATCTTGCAGCTTGGGGTAGCATCTCCAAAAGCCCCTTCTCCAAAGCCCCATTTCCATTCTCATTTGTCCCCCGAAAGCTGTAAACCTTATTTTAACACTTGGTAAACACAGCTGTGCATTTAAGGATCTGTCCAAGCACCAGCAAACTAATCAGCAGTCTTTTCATTAATAGGTTTCTAAGTAAAAAATCTAAGCACCCTTCCTTTTGCTTAAATATGGCCACATACTCATTTAACTTTACAGCGTCCTGTAAAAGGATCTTGCCAGATGCGCAAGATCTTCCCACATTTGCAAAATCTGAAAACTTAATTAATGTATTTTTGATGCACCTAACAGTGTAAGCACCACTGTGCTAGTCATTCTTGATATTAAATTTGGTATGTTGAAACTCGAGCAAGATTAAGCACCTCTTACCCCTCCCAAAGGTTTCCTCAAAAATTTACTAAATAAAGAAAAAAAACCTGTTTTTTTGAGCCTGTTAGTTCTTGAAGACCTGAAGAAAATTAAATAGGAAAGCTAAAACCTGACAGATCAGCTAAAAACTCTGCAGGTAGCAGCACCAGATTTTTTCGGGAGAACAGGTATTACAGAAATGATCATGTACCTGGCTGAAGGGTGGGGCAGCTCTACACCTGAACAGGAAGGAATTTTTAGAGTATTTGAGGGGGCTGATTCTCAGAGCAGAAACCCAAGCTTCGTGGAGCACCTCCTGTGAGCCCACAGAGGACAGCTGGCCTCCTCCTGCCACAACAACAGGGGGCAAAAATACCCTTGTAGGGATGGATGCTCCATGACTTACTCAAGACTGAAAAGGACTCACGAAGCGTGTAAGTCTGTGGTTCTATTTAAGTAATGTTTTTTTTCTGGAGAAGAGGAAAAACCTTGCTATCAACAGAGAAGAGAGCCCCAGCTGAGAAAGAGATGCAGCTCCACAATTTTAGTTGAAGTCACTGCCTTTCACAAAGATCTGAGCTGTCCCATCCCTCTGAGTTATTTATTTTTTAACCTGAATCTTTCTTACACTCATATTTTCATACTAAAACTGAGCACAGCCTGTAAGATACTTATCAAGAAGTTTACCTTTAATTATTAAACAGCCATGGTGGCTGGGAGGATGATGTAGCCACCCTAAGTACTAACAGGGAGTATCCTCCCAACTGGCTGAATCCATCATCTCCATGACACTTAAAACCCTGATCCCTTTCCTGCACCTCTACCAGACCCCTTTCCCCAGCATCCCAACCCCTATCCAACTGGCTTTTTTTTTTTTTCCCCTCTCTTTGGTAGCTTTGAGGCCCTCAGAGAACAGCAGGAACTCCCCTGACCAGCAAACCACAGCTCCACAGGGTTTTATCTGCTACTTTAGGTGAGCACTTTCGCTTCATGCCTAATTCAGTTCAGCTGCTGGGGATTAGTTTCCCTCTTTCATCTTCCCAGCCAGGTATTCCCGCCAGCTTGCTGCTATGACAACTTAAAACAAGGATTTTGGGTGGGTATTGCAAGCTGAACCAGGCACATCTTCAAGCCATACAGATACTGACCCAATGTAAGAGGCAGTAAAACAGTGACTTCTTCTGTGGGTTATGTGTAATGTGAAGTCACACTTCCACCCACCATTACAGATACTAAAAGCAGACACTGAGCAAAAGAAGTGATGCCCATGGGGCTGCTCCTGTGCAGTGCTTCGCTTGCGCCCTCTGCCCAGCAAAGACACAGTAGAAGTCCAGACCAGATCTGAAGTTAAGTTTAATGTTTTAGGGGAAAGCCAGCCACAACTGGAGCTGGCAATTCCAGAGAACTAATACATCCAGCTTTAAAACAAGACAAAACAGACTGTGCTATTTCTCCTAGCAAAGACTAATCCTAGGATGCTCTAAAATGCTAAACTGCCTTTGGAGGTTACCATTTCACATCAACAGCCAGGCAAGTGTTGATGTGCTAGCTGAAATGTAGGTGAAACTTTCATTTAAGATCTAGAGAAACACCCCTCCAGAGCCAGTGCAGAGAGGCCACCAGGCTCTTCTTAATCTGCATCTCAGGACGTGTGGAGCAGTCATACGGTTCTGAGATTATTTTTTGGCCTATCGTCTGTTTTGCATCTTTCTAATGTCTCTAATTTGACTTGCAGGACTTCATCTAGGCAAAAACAAGGGAAGGAAAGTAATCCCTATGTTTTGAAGCACTGGAGCTATTTTGTAAAGACAGTAAATTTCCAGCCCCCAGCATTTTGGGACTGGATTATAGAAAAACGCATTGGAAACAAGATGCCTCTCATGATCCAGCCTTACCCTTTATCACCACCCCACCACTAGTCCAGTAAGTAAAGCCCAAGGAGCAACCACAGCAGAGAATTCCAGCTGGTGCTGCTGGCTCGGGCTCCCAGCAGAGGCAGACACATGTCCCTGTCCTGCAGAGAGCCCTCCATAAGCTTCAGCCCTGAGCAGCATCCTCAGCTCCACTGGGTATGGACAGTGCTCACCAGCTGCTTCCACTCGAGCAAGGTGAACCACTGGAAAATACTGTATGTGTGCACAAAGGTATATCATATATTCACCAAGAGTTTTATCAGGTAATAGGCATCTCTCTCCTATCTCTACAGCCTTATGGATGGGACCTGCCCTGCTCCTTGCCCAAATATTTGAAGAGCTACACAGACTGCATACCACCATTACTTGTCAAAGAAGAGGAAAAAAAAAAGACAAACACTAAAAGAATAAAACCCTAAACCACATATTTACCTAGAAGACAGAGAGCTTTGTTGAAGATATTCAAGCCCTGCACCCCATCCTGCAGAGGAGCCAGTGGCAGGGCCACCCACATCCATGCAAGCAGTGGCCTGCCAAATTGATGCTTGATGCAAATGCCACTCCTGCCTCCTTACACCTTTTCTTCCCAGTGGTATCGATTAATGCATAATTCCCAATGCCACAGTTGTAAAACCAAGTCTAGAAAAGAGCAGGGAGGCTCTTCAGGGCTTCCAGCTCCAAAGTGCTTTTCACTTCAGTTTCTCCTGTGCTGTATAGCAGATGCTGCTCCCTCAAAAAAAGCAATTTCCCACTGTAGGCACCTCTCTTCCCAACCCCAGGGAAGCATGACAGTGCTTAAGATGCAAAGAGCATTAGGTGTATCTTCTGAAGATCACTAGCCCACAGTTGTACCTCCACATCTTCAGGGGCACCAGGGCCACAGCAGGTACATTGGAAGGCAAGCAGGAGTCCTAAGACTGGCTCCAGCATTATCCCCTTGCTGTTCATCAGCCCCACCTCCCAACCACCATTACGAGAGACCCACTGGAAATCTCATGTGCCTGGATGACTGCAGACAGGTGCTCAACCCCAGCTCTAACAAGAAAGGGCATTTCAGCTTGTAAGTCTGTTACCTGGGGTAAATCTTGACAAACCACTCAGATACAGCAGCATCGTGTGATGTGCATTCAGAACAGGTAATGTGTGTTTCAGCAGAGATGTGACATACATACAACCCTGTTTCCATGGCATGAGAAGTTCCTCCTCTAGACTGCAGTGCTGGCTCATAAGGCATCTCAAACCAGTTACTTTCCCTTCAGCACCCTTCAAATCATCAAAAGAAAACCATAACATACAATTTTTTCCAGCTGTCCAAACAAGGACAGCCTTCCCAGCAGGGAAGCTCCAACAGGGTCTTGTGGACAATGTCCAGAGCCATCAGGGCACAGTAAGCACGCTACTGCAGCAACTCTTCACAAATGAATTCAGTTTAAGTGTCCTGAAACTGCCCTGCAGCGCCAGCTCAGTGGGGTAAGTGGGGAAAAATCAGGAGATTCATTTCCATGTGCACTCCCAATCCAAACCAAAATATCAGCATTACAGCAAAGATGAGGACAGACTTTTCCTACTTTTGCTGCCAGACCTCCAAGAGATGATTTCATAGCTGACAGCCAGCAGCAATAGCCAGGGAGCTGTTAGACAGCAGCCTGCCCAGAGATGTGGGGGTCACAGACCGTCCCCTCTTGTCAGACATTTACACTCTTCCAACACAAGAGCCCAGATTCATTTGAAAGGCTTTAAAACCCTTCTTACCCTGACATTACAAAAAAACCCATGCTCATCCAATACAGCATGCCATGGATCTCTCTGCTTCCACAGACACTGGGGCTAAAAGAAAACTGACTGTGTGCTCCCTTCGAGATATAAAATGCCATAACAAAGGAAAAAAATGGAAAAAATACAAAATTATGTTGCCCTCTCAGGGAAGCACCCAGAGGCATGGCTAGCACAAGGTTACCAACAACCAGTAAAATAAGTTTGTAAGCCACTGCTGCTTGCACCAGAGGAGCTCATACAAAGGAGTCTGTAGCATTTCCATCATCTATCAGATCAACTCCCATGCAGTCTGTGCGTGATGCTCTGTGCCACAGACTTATTTTGCAGGAAGAATTTGGAGCAGTACCCTCATCTGGTCCTTTTCTAAGCAGGGTAGAAGGTTAAGATTTAACTACTGTTTGCTGGAAATGGGGAAGCTTCAGCAAAGTTTCAGGAGGGGCTTTTTTGGGTTTTTTTTTGTAAACGCAGTTTCTGTTCTTTAGAGTTAGAGAGTTGTGCAGTCCCTGCAGCCCTGGAAAAACACTGACAGAGCACATCAGCATCACCCTGCTGGTAGCAGTGGTAGCTGTTCTGCATTTTGCTCTTCCTACTGAAGATGTCACATCGAGCAGCAAGCCATCCTCTGAGCCCAGCAATACTAGTGGAGATGCCAGGGCAAGCAGGGGACCACGCCAGTCTCAAGCTCCTGCCACCCAAATGCCAAGACAAGAGGTTTGACTGGTAACTCCTAACCCATGGGGGTTTCCAGGCTAGAAACAGCTGAGCATTAAAGGGCAGATCCACAGACAGCAGGAACTCATATACCAGTTTAGGTTTCCCATTCCTGCCCTAATTCTTCTGAAACTCATGTCACCATTCCTGGACAGAGCCACACAGTCCTTTAAGGGCACCTCTGTCACCTGCAGCAGCGTGTGGTCCCTGTTCAGATCCAGTCCTCCTCACAGGCACAGCTGGCAGCATCCCAGTTACTCCATTGCAGCACCTGAAGTCACATTAAGAGCCTGTCCTAACTCTCGGCAGGACTTGACAATGGGGGAGTTACTGGACTTGTCACATTGCAATAAAAAGTCACTTTTTCAGGGGCAAAGCTGCTGCTTGGGCAAACAGTGGTTATCAGTTAAATGTAAAAGCAGGAGTATTGAGAAGCAGTGGTATTCAGTCCTATCAGTAGAAAGCAGTCCTTCCCGATGCTCACTCAGCTCCAGGACCACTATTTACAGCAAGAGGTTGTCAAGCACGCCAGGCATCACAGACATTTTTGATAACGAGACTGTTACCACTGAGGCTGACCTCCAAACACAGGGCTCCAGGATTTGTTTGTTGACTTCCAGTATGTGGTTTGTTAGTTTATATAAGTCAGAGCCAGCTCTTTGAGGAACAGGATGAGAAATGAGAGAGGGAGGAAGAAAGTCATTAGTAAAATCATAAAAGTCAAAAGAAAGAACTTGTACAAAAAAGAGTATCCTTGACTTCAAGAACTGCCTCTGCACAATGCAGAGTCACACACTGTTATGCTATGACAGGGGTTAAAGCACTGCAGTACATTAAATGCAGGAATTAAGATGGTTATTGGAAAGCTAGAGCTGAGTGTAACAGGAGATCACAAGTGAAGGAGTCAGTTTAATATTAAAGAAAGCTGTTTGGACTGAGAAACACTTAGCCACATACATACAGTGTGCCCCCAAGTAAGAAGACCTTGCAGAGGACCACATCTGCACCCAGAGGGGCAACACCCACGCTAACTAAGCGGGAAACCTGGTTGGCATCCCACAATCTCTTCTGCTTGTCAGTGCAATCGTAGCCATGGCTGTGTTGGAAAAGAGGGGAAGGAGGAACATACCCCAGAGTTTCAGCACTGGAGAATAGAGAGAGCACTGGTTTAAGAAGCTTTATCAAGAAGACAGCCTAAGAGAGATATCTGAAATTTCATTTGGCTATTGCAGGCAACCGAAATTGTATGTGGAAACGAGGTCCTTTACAATTGCATGTTTGCCAGATTTAAAAATGATGCACCACAGCAAGATCTACCCAGGTCAGCAATAAATAACAAACCCAAATGACTTTTGTCATCCTGTGATTTGTCAGAAGCAGCATTTCCAAACCATCTCCAGCTGCAAATAAAGCGTTAGAGGACATAAAGAGGGGAAAAAACGCCAAACAAAACATCCTTGAGAACAACAGAATCTTTTTTATTTCCCCCTGAATTTCAAACTTGCTCCACCTCCCTCCTGCCAGGTCTCACCTTGCCATGGCTTTTCTCCACCTTTCGGAAACACTTGTTCAAGGAGAGGTTGTGCCGGACCGAGTTCTTCCAGCCGGTGGGGGCTGTGGCGAAGTAGGGGAAGCGGTCCAGGATCCAGCTGTAGATTTCTTTGACTGGCAGGCTCTTGTTGGGGGACTGCTCGATTGCCATGTAAATGAGAAGGCTGAAAGAGTAAGGGGGTTTGGAAGTGGAGGATTTTTTTTCAGGGTTCTGGTAACAGGACGGTGAGAAGGATGGCACGCTGTCCCCCTCGATGTCGTATAAGGGGCTAACGATCGGAAGGCCCTCACTTCCGAGGCTGAAGTTTGTTAGAAGGTTTGTACTTTCGTGCAGCCAGTTCAAATTTGTGAGCTCATCGTCTGCTGCATCTCTGTCCACCACAGTGGCCTTTGGCTTGCCGGCATCGCCTGCATCAGGCAAGCTGCCCATCCCATGACACTGCCGTAGTCCTGCAGCTTTTTCTGCTCCTGGCGTTTCAGCTTTCTTATCCGGAGTCATTCCAGTGACTGGACCCATTTAGCTTTATTGGTCTGCAACAAAGGAGATGGTCAGAAATCACTGCAAACCGCCAAAATCACATTCAGCCCACCAAACCCAAACACAGGGCTGCACCATCCCTATGCTGTGCAGGAATACTGTAGTCACTGATGAGAGCCAGGGTCCAGCAGGAGCCTCCCAGTAAGCTCATGAGCATCTGCTAGCTCCCCTCCATTTGTAATCAGAGATTATGGTAATCATTTGGAAACTGCTGTATCTATCTTGAAACACCAATTTAGACACAGAAATAATAGTTATTCTCATGTCAACCTCTGAATCTGGAAAAGACCTTAACAGGTAGGATCTAATCCATGTAGGTCTGACATTAAATCCTTAGTTATACTCATTATATTTGTAAATTGACCCTGTTTAGAAGTGTTTGCCTTTGGTGCCCAAAGAGTGAAAAAAGCTGCAAAACTTACAACAGCATAAAGTGCGTTTGTGGGCTCAGCACAAACGAAGTCTCTACAACTCCCTAGCAGTCACAGTCATTCCCAAGTGCTGTCACATACTTCTACCAGGGAAAGATCTGGCCAGTCTATCAGTTCATCAGCTGTGAGTCCCACAGAGCTGCCTGGGTCCAAAAGATCTTTTTCCCTCCTGCAAGAGCTTGCTGCCCTAACCTGAGCTCTCCTGCAGAGCAGAGGGTGGTGGGACCACCTCTTAACAGGAAAGGATCATCTCTGGGGTGGCAGTTCAGACTTGGTGCAGGAGCAATGGCTGACCACTTCAACTAAAAAAAAAACCCACACTAAAAACCTAACCATAAAATTATTATCTACAAAAACCTGCAACCCAGAATGCATGGGCTAACATGCTTTAGAGGCATTACACTAACAAAAACCACCTTGCTTGTAGGATTTTAAATGGGATCCTCTAGCAAACTATGTTATGGGAAGAGCTGCTTTTTTCCTGCTGATGTGACCATGTCAGAGCTTCACTGCACCCACAGCTTTGGCCAACACAGCTATACCAGAACTACAGACCAACAAAACCACTGTACAGATGTGGGCTGTGTATACATACACACACACATACACTACAGACATAAGACACGCCAACTATGGATGCTGTTTACCAGCAAATCTGAGATTCACATTAACTGTAAAAAAAACCCCCAAAAATCAAACATACAAAAACCCAAACCCCAACCCAGTTCCTCATCCCAGTACATGCTATCATTCTGGTCTCATGCTCTGGCCCCCAGTGCAAGAGCTCAATTGCAAGACAAGGAGTTTCCATATCAGGCTTCACCAGACAGCTCTGTGCAGTTACTGGATGCTTTCTTACAAGAGTCTTCAGTAAACATGTGGCTCCAAGCACTTGCATCTTCTCCTACAAAGTGGAGGCATGGAGTCGGCCAGCCTGTGTACAGCTCTTGGCTGTCCCACCTACAAAACCAGAGCCAACCAGTTCCAACCTCACTGTGTCCATGGGAGTACCCTGTCCAGCCTGCCTGCAGACGTATTTGCCCAGCCTCCTTACTCTGGAGAAGGGGAGTGATGTGTAATGGAGGAGTGACATGGTGACCTAAAAAGGCAACAGGATACATCCATTCTATGCTCCTCAACAAGGGCCAGAGTCCTGCCAGTCCCTTCCTGGTGCCAGGTAGTCCTGGGGTACAGAATTTGTGCCTCCTCCAGAGAACACACCAGGTTTCCCACCAGCAATTTTTGCTCCTCTCTTCATATGTTCAAATGCTCTTGCACCAGCAACTGCAAAGCTGTTTTGATAGTAGCACCTACATCTATGCTTACCAGCAGTAGTGCTGGAAACCATTCCCAAACCTTCTGTTTTCTATTTCTTATTTCTATTCAATGCAGGGATGGGCATGATCAACTACCAGATCAGTTATAAAAATAAATAAATAAAGTGAGCTGCTCAAATAGCTGGTCGAAAATAGCTTTGCTCTCCCTACAATTTACTTCTCCCCCAAGCCATCAGAGCAGATTTATATTGGCAGTCAGCGATGGCTGGCTTTTAACACAGCCATATATACATACGCTCATGTCACTTCTTCAATGCTTTCTTAAATTAAAAAACAAACAAACAAACAAAGAGCTAGTGAAAAAATTCATACAGTGAAACAAACCCCAACTCTGCTGCAACCTGAGTTGCACCGCTCTCCTTATGAAGATTAACTTTACCTCCTTGTTCAGCACCTCTTTAGCCAGCTACATACTAAGCTTACACCTCGCAGCCGTGTGTCGGTAATTTTAGCTCTCGGTTCATGTTACCTGAAATATCCCTTTGCGAATCTTCCGTCAGCACAGCCGATCAAGAACACGCACACATGCGAGTCTGAGGTCACCGTATTTATTTCTTAGGTGAAAGGGGGCGGGGCAGTAAAGTCTGTTTTCAACTCAAATGTGGCGTGGGCACACTCAAAATTATAGAGGGAAAAATATTAACTTATTAAATTGGCATTGCATATCAGGCAGGCTTTGTGGTAGCATGCAAACCAATAGTGCATTGACATTATCTTTTAGCAGAGAATCATCACAACAATTAACACTCTGCTTATAAAAAATATTATTTGCAGGTAATATACTTACAGGAACTAATTTAAGTTAGTGCCATATTTCTCTTAGTAGATGTGTTACAAAAATCCACACGTCTCATTACCTTCTCGGTGCCTAGTTCACCACCCTGCACACCTTCTACCTGAACACATCAGAAGTCAAAATATTTTTTCTAGAAAGCTAAGAAGGCCATTATTAGATTATTATCATCACATAAATAAAAAAAAAAATAAATTTAGTTCCATAACTGCTGCAGTTTTCAAAGAGTGTTCTCCAGCGGTCTGCATCAAGGATAACTGAAATATAGAGATAGCAGAGTATGCAACAGGGAAGCTATTTTAATGAAGAATTTAACTCCATTGTGATGGCAGTAATAAGACTGGTGACACTGAGGACCATCAGCTGATCATTTCGACACTGCTTTTCTGGAGACACCATCACCTCAGCCTCAGAATATAGAATGCAGCCTCAGAATCTCTAATTCTGTCTTGTTTACTCTGGCCTGCTGCTGCATCAGTCTGAAGAAGAAACCAACACTGGCAGCCTTCCGACTGCAAAGGACTGCAAAGTCATCAAAAGCTGGCTCTTCCCCTAAGATCAACAACCACAACTCCAAGGGTTGCCCCACAGATGGGGTCATTAGCAGACATGGTAATGTCTGTCTCATCTCTCAAGCACCCAAGGACCATCTGGACCACAGGACCTTCTCCCTTCTCAAGTAGCCAAGGGCCACACGGACCACAGGACCATCTGAGACAGCACTGCTTTCTGCCTGCAGCAGCCTGGTGGGGAGAGACACCAGTGCCTCTGGAGCATATCTGAAGGCACACAAGTGGTCAGTTTGTGTGCTCTCCAGAGCCCCTCTTCATTCAGAGACCTTCAATGACATGGATATTCACAATTTTTCTCTTCATGTGGGCTCTGCCTGGCCATAAGCAGATGAGATTGTGAGCACAGAGCTTCCAAGATGTCATTCTCAAGATTACCACTTCCAATATTCAGGTTTTAATATTTTACATAAGGACCGTGGGATTCACCAAAGCCATCTTTGCTGTAAGCTGGCAAGGTTTTGTGGGCAGGCATGACCCAGTGGGAAAACCACAGTTAAGAGTAAGGAGAGTAGACTGTGAGAAGAGCACGGAAGAAGCTCTCCGGTGCAGATGTTTTGATAAAATTGTACATGCTTGGACCATCAGGTTGTTTTCCTAATGTTTCTCACTGTTAACCAGCTCAAAGAGTCGAAGCAAACAGGGTTAGAGGTGGCCACCAGGACTTGCTCTCCACAGTGCTCCTGGACAAGCTGAATTAGCAGCACCAACATGAAAACAGGGAGGTTAAGAGTGTGCATGCGCGTTGCCAGGTCACTCAGTGAAATTCATCTTCCGCTCCTTTATTCCCTTACTGCCACTTTCCCTGCCTCTTCAGCTACTTCAGGAAAAGCAAGAAAACCATTTCCAAATGACAGGCAACTGCTCAGCTGCTGAGATATGCTCCCCATCCCTCTACTGGAGCTCTCCTCAAGCCAATTCTTACCGAAGGGGGATGGCAAACAGCAACCATCTACCCAGCTTCTCCAGCTGCTGCGTTGAATGGCCAGACACTTGCTGCAATTCCCACAGGGATAGCCACAGAAGAGCCAGAAAGCAACCTCCAGCCATGCACACGCAAAAATAATACGCTTTAAGCACACCTATGAAAAAATATGGAGGAGTTTGTGCTCTGACCTGTGTGCTTTACCCCACCAATAAGTGACACAGCATGCTGCTGCTCATTGGTATTAACACTTGCAACTGAAAGCAGAGCATCACACATCCAAACCTACGGAACTCAAGCATCTACCTCCTGTAAGAAAAGAAACGTTAATCAAAACATCTATTCCGAGTATCGCAGTGGAGGTGCCCATTATTTTGCACAGCAATTACAGACAGAGGTAAGACATGATTCAGGGGTAAGAAGATTAAAAGGCTGCAAAGTCAGCTGAGGTTGCTCAAACAAAAGTTAGGATGCATCAGAAAAGAGGCGAGAGAGTCAACCTTCTTTCCAGCAGTCTCCGTGATTTCTGGCATCACTCGAGAGAACACATAAAAGCCAGGAGCAGACCTCCCTGCTAACATGTGCCAGTCCAGCACCCAAAGCCCAGTGAAGACCTGCTCCTCCAGGCCACTCACAACCTGAACAGCAGAGCCCAAGTCCAAAGGGGCTGATTAAGGCTGCAGATGTGTTCAGTCAGCAGTCTGTTTCAGAGAAGCAGGCACAGACTGGAGAAGACTCAGTGTCTCAATGTTGCAAGACGATAATATTTTTTGCAGTCTTCTCTCAAACTCACCAAAGGGCTAACTTTGGGAAAGGTTATGGGGACTGCAAGGTTCTCAGCCTAGCAGAGCACACCTGGAGTTAAACCAGGTTTGTGTGCCCCCACATACATCTCCAGCTACAACTTCATTTTGAAAGAAGACCTTGAGGACCGATAT